ATGTTACCTTTTGGCCAATTTCCTAGGGAGTGGGATTTGACATGGAAAAATTGATTGAAGGAATGACCAAAGCCAATTCAACCATGAAAGTGATATAGATAATTCTTGTATCTAATCAAGGTCCCACACTCATTTTTCTAAAAAATTGTATTCACATGAAAATACTGGATCTAGATAATGTATATTAATATGATGTTTTATCGGGTTTAAAAGTTAACTTTTTTTAAGTAACATATTGTTAGACCATACTATTTCGAACATTGCTCTAATCAATTTTAGATAATTATAAGAATACTTAAAAATCGGCTTTTAACTGCTTTTGTCAATAACATAGAGTGATGCTATGCTTATAAAGTAGGTTTACAAAAAAGGTTAACAAAGTGGTTGTTGGCAAAATCAAGACCACTCAATTCAAAAACAGTTTTTGAAAGCAACAAAATTAATTGGTCTTGATCTTGTCAACACACACTTTGTCAATCATTTTTGTCAAACTACTTTGTACAAATAGTTTAATTGCTCCTGATTATGTCTAATTCTACTTAAAATCTACTTTTGAATGTAGAGCCCGCCGTATTAATAGGGGGAAAAATCTACGAAATTTATAAAAATCAGACAAACCATTCTTTTTGTTGCTCAAAGTATTTACAAATAATGAGCTTAAAAGTTAAAAACCTAAAACCCAATAATCATATACTTATTACTTAAAACAGTTAAAATTAACCACAAATCTTAAAAAGGCTGAAGGTTCCTACTCAACCCATTTACAATATTAAAAAACCCCACCACATCCCGCCGCCGTTGGTCGTGTTTCCTTGTGCCCGGCGCCACCGCTGCCATCACGGGCGGCGTTACTTTAGCCGTTTCAGTTTTCTTCTGTTGTTTGTTTCTTGGAGGCAAAATGACAAAACTGTCCTTTCTGCCATCACTATTAGTCCTGCGTAATAGGTCACTAAATCTCCAGCGCTTGGAAGAACCGGCCGAACTGCTCTGTTTACACTGCCTCGTCGCCGCCTCCGCCGCCTTTGGCTTCCACACGCAGTACGTTCCTGGGGGCAGGTTTTCTAGTTCTTCGGTCTCCGACGACGAACTTGACGTCGTCGTTTCCCTTTCCTCAATAAAAAGTTTCTTCAATGGAACCCGAATTCTTGGAGCCTTTGCAGAACCCGAATTTTCAGTAGTCTTATTTCCATTCTCAATTTCAACATTTCGGAACCGTAAATCTCTATTGGAAATGGGGAAAGTAGGTCGGATCTGACCGTTGTAGAAGATTTCGTCAGCTGAAATTGGAGAAGAAAATTCAGCCTCTTTTGCAACAAATGCGAATTCAAATTCTTCACCTTCACCATCATTTTTATCTTCTTTCTCTGCACTTTCAGAATTTGCTTCTTCTTCCACTTTTTGGGTTGATGAATTTTCTTTGTTTTCTATACAAAATTCATCATAAAATTCTTCAAAACTGCTGAATTCTTCCACAACTCGAGCCGCGATTTCTGCAAGGTTATAGTTAGAGTAGCTATTGAAGCTTGGCGAACGCGAGAGTTCCGGACCCGTATGCATTTCTAAGCTAAAACCAGTTGAAATCTTCTTGCAAATTGCTTCTAAGCTCTATAATTTGCTTTATGAACAAAAAATAAAGTTGAAATCTTATTCGAAATTGCCTTGTTAACACTATAAGTCGCCGTATGAAAGGAAAATACTTTCGGCATCTGATGCAAGGACGAGAACCGAAAAATCCTACTTTGGAAAATTAGTGGGGAGAGATTTTAGAGGCGTAAATGGTTGAGGGGACTGGATTTACAGAGAAATTCGAAAACGAAAGCTAAAAAGAGAGATTGAGTGAATAGCAAAAAAGCAAGAAAAAGCAGACGCGCCATGGAGAAGGGGTGGGATCCAGTGGAATGAGGTGCAGCTTTTAGTGCTGTTATTAATGGGTCCTTTTGAGAGATTGACGGATTTAGAATTTAGCGGTTGACTTTTGACTCTTGTGGTAGGCTGTCAAGTGTCAACCATCGAGTTTAGCATAGTTTGTGGATATAATGATTAAGGGCTGAAAGAAAAAATCGAGAAATCGTAAATCGAATTGAAATCGTTGAATTGAAACCATTGCTTCAGATTCACGTGGACCCGTGATTTTTTTTTCCTCAAACCGAACCAAATCATTTCAAAATGGTTTGGTTTAGGTTTTAATTTTCAAAAACCACACAAAATCAAATCGAACCGTTTTAGATTTTTTATTAAAAAATTAATTTTATTAACTTAAAAATTTTACAATTTTCACTTTTGAAAAAAATACCAATTTTAAGAATATAAATTACAACCAGCCTATTGAAATAATCATAGAAAGTAAATTAGGTTCATCATTAATGACCTATAATTTAATAGGTTCATAATACATATCTTCACCTGATATCTAAACTAAACTAAAATTATTTCAAAATCATAAGAAATGGAATATATATATATTTTTTCAACAATCCAAATCATAATTCAATAAAATTACGTCAGCAAATCACATCAAAAAATCTAGAAACCCTAATATAAATTCTCAGTTCCCTAACATTTGACACTTGTCTGCCACTGCTAAATAAATCGACAATCACCTCTGCCTGTTAGTCTACTAATCTTTAATTGAATCTTCTCTTTCTCTTTTCTCTTTCGGTAAGTCTTAGATTGTTATTCAAGTCATTTTTCCATTGTTCTTTCTTTTATTTTTTATTTTGAACTAATTATACACTTGTGGATTGTGGTTTTTATAAAAATAAAAATAAAAATGATTGTTTGTGCACTAGATAATTGATGAACTTGTTTATGATTTGAAAAGAATGAAGGATGGAGCATATTGATTGTGTGAAAATGTTAAAGTTCTCTAACTAGTACTACTATATCTAGTTTCATAAAGTAGTTAGATGATGAAATTCATCAATTCCTAATAAGCCAAAATTTTATCAATCTTTGTACATCTAAACATATATCGTTCAATCCTTATTTAACATATAACTTGCAAAACGAAATGAGTTTTAACCAAACTATGATAATAGAATATAACTCTACCTTTACCAATGCTATATGACAATATAAATGTCAAACAAGAAAAGGTAAATAAAAATGAAGAAAGTTCTATTAACATCTTTTAGTAACCAATTTTGAAAATAATTTATTCATTGGTTTCATAATAAATATGAATGTAATTTAATATTTAACATTATTAGTTCTCGTTTAAGCTTATATGTAATTTATGTTAACCACATTACTGTAATGTCAAAAGGTAAATCGCGGATTAAAATCATACCAAATCGCAAATTATGGTTTGGTTCGAAAAATAAAATGGTTTGCTTTGATTTAAAAAAATTTCAAACTGCATAAAATGATTTGAGTTGAAAATATAGCACAAACCGCCTAAATCAAACTACATTCACCCATGTCAGGGCCTAAGTCCCTATTTAATGAACATTGAATCATTGTTTGATTTTCGTTCTTCTAAAAATTCATTTTTTTTCAAAACTCATTTTCAACTACACATTTTTCAATAAAATAATATTACACGCAAATTTAAAAACTTTTTTTAATGTTTAATCACACATTTTTTTTATCAATCTACTATTCAAAATGCATTATTTTCCCCAAAATGATGATCAAATAAGGGCATAAAAAATGTTACTTATTTTTTCCCTTTTTTTTTGTATAAAGAATATACCTTTAGCCATCTTTCTATGAAAAAATTATAGGTAATTAGCACATAATGTTCTTACCTTACACTATTATTGCGAAAAACGTTTTTACCTTTTATTTTTAGATATTTTCACCTTTCGTTGAGCAAAATGGTCATTTTCTTCCATTTTCTCAATTAAAAGATGTGAAACATTTCTATTTAAATTAAAAAAAAGAAAAGAAAAAGAAAGTCCCAAATTTCTTGAAAAAAGTGCAAACGAATCCCAAATAAATTAGTAAAAGGGTATTTAGCACATAATGTCCCTACCTTTCACTATTATTGTGAAAAAAGTTCATTCCTTTCATTTTTTAATATTTTTACCCTTAATTACACATTTGATTGCGCAAATCACCATTTCTAATTTTTAAGATTTTTTTTTAAATTTAATCGTGAATCGTTTGTACTTTTTTTTTATAAAAATTGGACTACGCTTGCAATTAGTTCTTTATTTTTTTATTTTTATATTTAAATATGAGGATATATTTTTTTTTTATTGAGAAATTAGATGAAAATGATAGAAATGATGGTTAGGACAATTAAATGTTTAATTAAGGGTGAAAATGTTAAAAAAATGAAATATATGGACTTTTTTCATAATTATAGTAAAAGGTAGGAACATTATGTACAGATTATCCTCATACTAATTTATTTGGAATTCGTTTGCACTTTTTTTTTTTTGAAAAAAAAAATAGGGCTATGATTTCAATTATTTTTTCTTTTTGTTTTATCTAAATAAAAGGGTATATTCGTCATTTCATGACTTTTAATTGAGAAAACGGATGAAGTAACATGACCTTTTGAGCAATGAAATGTGGAAATAAAGGTGAAAATGCTAAAAGATGAAAGATGTGGATATTTTTCATAATAATAATGAAAGGTGAGGATGTTTACATGGTAATTACCCTGAAATTATTCTGAGTAAAAAGTTTCATTAATCACTGAACTTTACATGCTGTCATGTTCAGGTTACTCAACTTTGTCATTCATCTAAACGATCATTGAACTTACTGGAAACGCACTCCATCCATAACTCTCCCAAGAAACGTTTGTTTAGCTGCTGACTAGGCTGGACGGAATTTGACGTGTCAAACAGCACGCAGTTAATTCTTGCCACGTGAAGAAATGCTACTAAAAGTGAGAAAATGCCTCACCTGTAAATCACAATGCATTCAACCCCTATTCCATCTTCACCCAAAATCGAAGAACCCTAGGATACCACAGGGCCCAAACGCTATGGCAGCTGGAAGACTCGTAGCAGGAGCTCTATTTCGCCCCCAGCAGTAACCAAAATTTCAGTCGAAAATAACTCGCAACAATCCAACAAATTGGTTTAACCGATTATTGAAACCTATCCCGAAATCGTGGAGGAGAAGAACGAATCCGAATCTCCTATCCCCAAATTGTGGAAGTGAAGAACAAACCTAATCTCCCATCCCCATCGCGATTTTAGAAAATGATTCTACCCTACCTAATTTCATACATGTATGCAACAACATAGCTGGAAAAAGAGTGCCGATTTGCACATATAGAGGCATGCGACGGAGATAAAGAGCACACCCTTTATGTCCATTCCGAGGTTGACATAGCTTCGAAGGAAGACGATTTTTTGTACGATCGTAATGTGACAGATGGCATCAAAATTGGATCTGACTTGAAAGAAGGACGAAATGAAGGAGTATTGATCAGTGTAGGGGAGGTGGAAGATGATGACTTGGAGTATCCATCCAATGAGGAGCTATTATTGACTTGTTCATCGGACAAAGAGGTTAGTTATAGATTCCCAGAATTTATGGCTGAGATAGATATTGCGAATCCGTAGTTTGAGGTTGGACTACAGTTTCGATCAATGGAAGAGTTTCGGATTGCCGTGAGAACATATGGTGCTCTTAACGGTTACAATTTGAAGTTCAAGTGTAATGATAGAAAACGAGCTCAAGGAGTTTGCAAAGTGGGATGTAATTGGAGGATTTGGGCCTCAAAGCTGGGTTCGAATGAGATAGTACAGGTGAAGTCTTACACACCAGAGCATACATGCACACGTAGCCAAAATAATAGACATTGCAACTATATCTTCTTGACAAATAAGTACCTTGAACAATTTAAGGCAGACCCTGATTGGAAAACAAAATCCATTTTGGCTATTGTGAAAGACGATTTGAAAATAGAGATAAGTAGAAATGTGGCCAACAAGATGAGAAAATATGCGAAGGAATTGTTATTTGGAACCATGGAAGAACAATTCGGACTCCTAAGACGATATGCTGCGGAGGTACTTAGGTCGAATACGGGGTCAACAGTTATGATATCCTTACATGAGCAAGTTTTCAAAGGTATCTATGTATGTTTCAGTGCTTGCAAAGTCGATTTTAAAATTGGATGCAGGAAAGTGGTAGGTATCAATGGTGCCATTTGTGAGGTTATTTCGGGGGAATAATGTTAACAGCATTGGGACAGGATACTACTGACTGTATATACCCCATGGCATATGCTGTTGTCAGGAAGGAGAACACAGATGCTTGGAGATGGTTTTTGAAATATCTCCAAGAAGACATTAAAATTGGTAATGGAAGAGGTTGGACATTGATGACTGACCACCAAAAAGGACTTCACAATGTGTGCGAAGAGTTATTCCTAGAGGCAGAGCATCGCTTTTGTGTTTGACATATGTACACAAACTTTTTCAACGCTAGACATAAGAGCAAAACACTAAAGGATTTTCTTTGGCGTGCCACCAAGTCAACAACTGTTGCAGAATTTAGACAGTGGATGCAAAAAATTAGTGAAGTCAGTGAAGAGGCACATGGATGGCTGTTAAAGAGACATCTTCAAGAGTGGAGTAGATCACACTTTCTAGAGCACTCCAAGTGTGACATTCTACTGAACAATATTTGTGAGGTGTTCAACAAAACATTGCTAGAAGACAGAGAGAAAATGATTCTAAATATGTTGAAATCAGTGCAGATGACATTCATGAAACGGATACAATAGAGATGAGAAAAGATGAGACGATGCGACGGTCGTTTATGTCCAAAGATTACAAGAAAATTGCCAAAGATTGCTGAGATTTCAAGAGAATGCACATTGCACTTGTCAAAAGGCCCAAGGTGGCAGGTTGATTGCAGCTACGGGACATATGTAGTTGACCTGGAAGAACGTACCTGCACATGTTGAAAATGGGAGCTTACAAGCATACCATGTGTGCATGCCGTAGCAGTGATAGGGAACTACAGAAATGAACCAGTTGATTTTGTGGACGATTGTTACACGATCGATACATACATGAATTGTTGCAATAATGTCATGAACCCAATCAACGGCACACTTTTGTGGCCCCAGGTGAACGCCCCAACAATCATCCAGCCTAAATGGACTGTGCCTCAATGGGGAAAGAAACATAAAAAGAAAAGGAAACAAGCTGAAGAAATGATCGTGCAAACCCAGGGAAAATCCTACATCATGAAGAAAGGGTAAGTGCAAATGACGTGCTCGATAAAGGGTAAGTGCAAATGACGTGCTCGATATGTGGATTGAAAGGGAAAAATAAAAGATATCACTCAAGCGATGCTGCTCCCGTTGAGGTATGTATTTCCCTCTATCAATTTACGACAATGTTGTCATATGCTAACATACTTATTTTCTGACTGGAATGGTGCAACGTTGAATTAGAACCAGTTCAATCGACTAGCAATGTAGCAGTTGACGAATATGTGAGTACATATCAAATTCATTCTTACCTAATTCCCAACATTTGTTAAGAATGGTTTGTGTTCCACTACAGGGTAAATTGGTGTCATCAAGATGTCAAGGATTTTCGTCTACTCAGAATGAAGAAGAGTCAGTGCGGTTTATTCCAACCCCTACGGCTACTAGACAAATACACACGAACACTGAAAGATCGGGCCAATCAGCAAGTAGACTGGCAGATTACTCATGAAGAGAATGAATGGTTGTGAATGAGTTTCTTTGTGTTAAAATGAGCTGTGAATGTGGTTTTTGTTCCTTATAAATGTAGTTTTGAAAAAAGGATTATGCCAAAATGCTATAATTTGCATTCATGTAGTAATGTTTGAACCGTTTTGTTCAGGATAGGGTAGTATCTTTTGTGATGGCTCAAGCTGTGAATTTTTTTAGTTCCTTGTAAATGTCGTTCTGTTGGTCATCATTATATCAAAATGCTATAATTTGCAAAATGTCGATCTTATTTACATTGTCAAAATGCTATAAATTTGCATTCTTTACCTAATGTTCGAACAACTGGTCATCATTGATCCTAAACTTATTGAGCAGGCTAGGTGAAAATCAAATAAAAACCTACGCGGGAAATATGAACCAAATTTAAACAAAACATATAAAATCGATTACATAAGAAGTCTTACATGAAAGTAAGACGTCCACGACTTATAGCATACATTAGTTACTATAGGTTCAACGATGGTTACATAAACATGGATTTCGACAAATACAATAAGATCCTTCAACTCGATCACATAGTTGAAAAATATTCACAAACATTTCCCATTTTTCGTTCCCGTTGTCCTCCGTAACCCCCTTTCCTTTGCTCATGGTAATATTGATGGATATCTCAATGTCTTTTTCTTCAGTTATTTGAGCACATTTGTTGAACATACAGGATATGTCTTGGCACTGAGATGTAGCTTTACAATTACCCAAACAAATAGAACTCGATTCCACAATAGATTGTTCGTCCTTCCACTCGATGTAACTGCAATCTCTAGTACAACATAAAAACAACCTCCCTTTATTTGAAGTATTTTTCTCCACCTCCATACATTTCTCAAATCCTTGGCCACATTTTGGGCATCGTTGCTTTGTTGGACAGTCTGACAAGTAGTGCTCGGGCTTTCTACAACTGTGACAGACACCCCTGTTCTTCCCTACCATGATGCTTCAAATATGTGACATACACCCCTGTTCTTCAACTTATTTGGCATTAGTATTTCTTTGTTAGAATGGTATTCGAATGCAGCACTGCCATTATAAATCGAACTGTAACAGGAAGAAATGTAATGCACTGCAGTTTTCTTGGGAATTTAGAGCTCATTACATGGAAACAATAATCAAGAAACGAGACAGACAACCTCTTTGTTCAATTAACGCAACGAAACATCAATTACTTCAAGATCTATCACATGAACACCAATTACTATAATTTTCTTCATTTTGTAAACAAATAACAAGAAAGTGCAAATGCTCGAAGATAATTATGGAAATCTCAATTGACATAAACCATCCTTGACATAATTTTAGAACGATCAAAACTACACACGCAGATATACAAATAATATTAATCCACAGCAATAACAAAACAACCAGTAAGACGTGTACTTTTTTTTTCTTTACTATCCAACACCATCGCAAATCTACCTCAAACCCCTTAACAATCAAAAAACGTAGAGGTTTTGGGATTACCTTCGCCGTGCGTGGAAGTTGAAGAGTTTTAGTTGAGCGATTTCCTCCTCCGCGACTTGAACTTACTGGACTCTTCCGATTAAACCAATTTGCTGGACTGTTGTGGGTTATTTTCGACTGGAATTTTGGTTACTGCTGCGGGCGAAATGGAGCTCCTACTATGGGTCTTCCAGCTGCCATAGCGTTCGGGCCCTATGGAATCCTAGGGTTCTTCGATTTTGGGTAAAGGTGGAATGGGGGTTGAATGCATTGTGATTTACAGGTGAGGCATTTTCTCATTTTTAGTAGCACTTCTTCACGTGGCAAGAATTAACTGCGTGTTGTTTGACACATCAGATTCCGTCCAGCCTAGTCAGCAACCAAACAAACGTTTCTTGGGAGAGTTATGGATGGAGTGCGTTTCCAGTAAGTTCAATGATTGTTTAGATGAATGACAAAGTTGAGTGACCTAAACATGACAACACGTAAAGTTTAGTGATTAATGAAACTTTTTACTCAAATTATTCTACTCTTCTTGACTTAAAGAGATACACGATTTTTACATCACACTCAAAATAAAATTCACGATAACTTAAGTAATAAAGTTCTGATAAAATCCCCATAAATTTATAGCAAATTCTCCAAATTATTTCCCAAATGTTCACAAATTAAACCAGTTCCGAGGAAAAAATTTATCTTCAATAAAAAATTGATATTGTTGTTGGTTTATAATTCTTTTGATCAGTTTTGTTGAAAGTGGAGACAATAGCTTGTTGTGCTTTCTTTTGTTTCAACATTTTACTCTATTTTCAAAATAAAATATATTTTGACTTTTATAATTCCTTGTAGATCTAGAAATACAATCGATAAGACAAATAATATAATAAACCAAAAACCGCCACATCCTACATCGTGTATATAGCACCTCCCAACCCCAAAAAATTGCCAAACATCATCGTCGTTGTTGCTGCCTTAACCTACACAGTTAATGCCAGTATTCAACATTAGTACCCCCAATACCCAGATTTTGAACAAGGGTTGCACGACTGTAGACATTTCGTTGTGCTTGGCATATAGTTTTCTTTTTTTCTTTTTTTGTCGGGGAGAAGGAGGAGGGGGTTCACGTATAAAAACCTACAAGATTGCATATAGATTTAGACCATGCGAGAAACCATTAAAAAATTTAATTAAAATTTAAGTCAAAGTCAACAATTAATTTTAACTACACATTTTATAAGACCCATAATTTTTCAATCACGTATTACATCAACTTTATCAAAATTTACTAAAAATCTAATTTTAATCTCTACTAAACATGGGCCTAATAAAAAAAACAAGCATTTTATTACACTCTCAGAGAGTTCTTGCAAAGAATTGATCTAACCTGACTCTCTCTAGCTAAAAAATTGACTCTCCCTAGTATTGTATTACACTCTTAATGAGTTTTTGCAAAGAGTTGATCTAACTTGACTCTCCCTAGCTAAATTGAAAAAACTTTTGCCCCGTTGGCCTTTTTATACATCCACCTTTTTTGTAATGGGATAATTGCAATAGAAGTCTCATACTTTTGAAACATTAGCAAATTATTCCCAAACTTTTGATTTGATGCGGCCATCACCCATAACCTTTTCAAATGTTGCAGTTGAAGCCCTTTTGGATAATTTCCATCCACAATTTCATCAGTTGACCAAAAATTTAATTTTGACCACATTTTTAATATTTTAAAAGGGGTAAAATAGTAAATTTCCATTTATTAAATTAAATAATTAAATTAATAAATAAAAAATAAAAAATACATACACATCTCGTCTTCTTCCTCTCACCCACACCCACACCTACCCCATCCCACCCCACCCAACCTCGAACCCAAAATCCACCCCGACTATCACGCACCGCCATCGAAACTGATGCAACCTTCATTACCGACCACCGAGAATGACAGAGCTCGTGAAGAACCCAAGGATACTATAATCTAAATTTAGCTGGACAGCTTGATGGCTTCTAAATGATGAATATTATCCAAAAGCTTAAGTGTATGTTTTAAAAGGTTGGAAATGGTTGCTGAGACATTTTTCCTTTGCGATTTGAGGTGTAATCCTTTGCAAATCAAAAATTTATGTCAAAATTAGAACAATCAATTCAAAGTTTAGGAGGAGGACTCTTGATTGGGGTGGAAGCGAAGGTGGAGGTGAAGGTGGCGACGACGGTTATTGGTGTGGACTTTGAGTTTAAGTTAGGGGTGGGGATGAGAGGAGGAAGACGGGATGTGTATGTGTGCGTTTTTTTTATATTTCTTATTTTTTAATTTAATTATTTAATATGATAAATGAAAAATTACTCTTTTACCCATTTTTAAAATATTAAAAATGTGGTCAAAGTTATTTTTTTGTCAACTAACGAAATTGTGGACGGAAACTATCCAAAGGGACTTTATCTGCAACGTTTGAAAAGGTTAGGGGTGATGGCTGCAACAAATCAAAAGTTTGGAGAAAGTTTGTTAATGTTTCAAAGGTTTAGAGCTTCTGCTGCAATTATCCCTTTTGTAATGGACAAAAAGTATCGATATGATCCAATGGATGTTATCCAAG